ACACTCACTCAGATTGGGACCATGCAGACATGCCAATTCACCCAGTGGGCACAGCTTTGAGCTGTGGAGGGAAACCAGAGTGCTTGGAGAAAACCCATGCAGCCAGGGGTTGGGGAACATGCAAACGTGCAAACTCCCAGAAGACAGTGGCCCCAGCCAGGAATCAATTTATTTTTTCTCAACAATGTTATAATGAAACAATATTGAACGAAACAACTTAATGTAGGACCTACTGTGGAAGGATGGTTAGTGACTCTTCAATTTCATTATGACTTCTTATCATGACAACTAAAACCTGGGAACCTCTGTAAGAGACAGTTAAGTTGGTCAAAGGGCAAGTTAGCTGTGATTTGAGTGATTTGGGGCAACCTGAAAAATACAGGATAAAATAGGAAAGATACACAGCCTTAATGTATTAATGAAAGTGGATTTATTATGAATGATACTCACTACAATGATTAATTAAGCTAATCCTTTATTATGTGCTCTGCTGATCACCATCAAGAATGAAAATACATGTTTGCTCTGTTTTCAATTAAAATGTGTGGAATTACAGAAATTTGAGAAAATGAAAGTTTGACTTTTACAAGGTCCTTCAACCATACTTAATCACTTTGCTGACTTTTCTTCATCTTTCTGCATCTCAGTTCCTTATCCGGAAAGTACAATAAACTTTCCTGTGTTGGTGATGATAGATGGTATAACAATCTTCTTTTGCAGCTGAATTCTCCAAGTCAATACCACCTTCTGCCCGATCCATGATTCAGCTCTATTTGACAGTTCAACACTAGCTAATACAATTGTTTCCTTCTTAAATGTACTAACCCCTGTGTTCTCTGAATTTCTTTAAATAACTTTAAAGAAACCATAAAGTACTCAATAAATAATTTTTCCAAGAAATGTATTCTCAAAGTGATTATACCTGTGTATGAATTCATTTATAAAACTGCTTTTCTTTCAAGCTGACATGAGAGTCCTAGGAAACAGGGTCAGGCAGGAATGAGAAGAAGAGACATCATCTTTATATCATGATTGATAACTGTATCTTGAATAAATCCAAATACATATTAGGAAGCATCTATCACAAGTTTCTGTTTATTTGAACATCAGGGTTTTCTAATATATTTAAATATCCTTTTTTAAAAGAATTTTATTTATAAGCAATTTCAAGATTGCATCTAGTCTATAAACTACATGAGATGAGGTGTTTTTATACATGACTATTTGATAGTGAACACGACCTGAAAAAGAACTTGGATCTGTAGCATTTCCACTTTCAACCCTCTCAGGATTAAGGTTTATCTCTTAATTCTGATGGAGATCTCCTATGCATTGAATAAAAGTGGTGAGTGTTATTCTATGTGCTGGGAAGCTAGCTTCATAGAATTATGTTAGTAATGAGGTATTACATTTATGCATCAAAAGTTTGGAAGCTGACTTTTCTAATAACTTTTTTACAGTATACTTAGTAATCTTAATATAATCAAAGAATTGGCCTCTGATATTAACTATGTTCTACTAAACTATAAAACACACTCAGGTGAAAATTACAAATATGTTCTATACTAGATTTTTGACATAAATGATTAATTCTCATAACTCTGCCAAACAGGTATTTTATCCTCCTTGAACTGATGAAGAAATAGCTCTTGCCAAAGCCATATGGTTAGGCAACAGCAGAGGTAGATTTTGCACCCCGCTGTGTCTGATGCCAAAGCTTTTCACTATATCATGCTGCCTTTATTTTCAATTAAGTTTAGGATTCCCCCAAGTTAATGAGAAACACACATACCATAAATTAAAATCAACAGTACATTGAAAGCCTGATTTTAACTAACAGCTTTTGGGCAAAACATTTTTCTAATGTTAATATGAAAAACATTGACTCGTCTAACTTGCTTCTTCCATTGCTCCCCCTCTATCATCCAACCCCATTAGGATGCTGCTAAGCTCCGATATGAACAGAAGGTAGACAGTAGCCAGAGAAAGGAAAGAAACAGAGGGCCTGAATTATCTACAAACTGTGTAACCAGCTCCCAAACCATCAGGAGTGAACTTAATTAAATGGTTTGTTTAAAGTGTGTCTAAAAAGGGAAAATAATTCATTTTTAATTAGGACAATCTTTTTTTTTGGTAAATGGTAAAGTACTTAAATCATAGTATTATTTTTAGACATCTCCTCACTTTAAATAATTTAGAAATTCAATTATAATCATTTGCAATAAACCACTTAAAAATACTTAAGGTTCTTCTTGAAACTACCTTGTCTGCTTAAAATATATATTATATATTTATATAAACATATATTTATATGTTTGCTTAAGAAAATTATATTTATATATTAGTATATTATGTTTATATATTTTTTAACAGACAAGGTAGTTTCAAGAATATATATCAGATAATCAGCCTAAATACAAAATGGTTAAGAGACATTTCTGTGTCACTATTTTTACTCAAAGTTTTTGTTTTGATCTGTCAAAAAGTTTTGGGGAGCTCTGCGGATTTTCAGAGCTCATTATCTTATTTCATAGTGATATTAGCTTCATTTTACTATGATAGTGAGGCATTTGATGGCTGCTATCAATAGGATCTGTGTTCATCCACAGAGACACTTCAAATGAAGTGAAAAACATTTGCGGATTACAGTATGTTATGATAGTGAATGATTTTAAAAGATGTCAAGTTCTGCTTAATGAGTTTTATATGAAATAGCATTTACATTAGGGGAAAGTTTGGGGGAGGTAAAAGATGTAAGTCATCAGAATTTCATTTATTTTTAAATACAATTAAGCTCTCGGAAAGCATCAGCACTTTAACTCTGAAATATCTCTTTTAAAGACATTACTGAAATATCATTATTACCATTTTTTTATTTTCTAATACATCCCTGAAAATGAGTTCACTTTAATAAGTGGAA